ATATATATATATATATATATATATATATATATATATATATATATATATATATATATATCTGAATTGTAGGATATTAAGAGTGAAAATGTACTAATATATTAAATAACAGTATAGTAAATACAGTAATAAATTTATAATTTTTCGTGATTTGTCGTATAAAAAAAATGTTTCGTAAATTCTTCAGTAAGGAACATATAACTGTAGGATAAAATGAATACTTATAAAAAAACAATTTTTGAAAATTCAATTTTTCATCGAAATTCGGCTTTTTAACGAAAATCGGATTTATAGATCCGATCAGGTCTTCAGCTGATTTGAATTGTTTGGCAGATGAGCAGTAATTAACCTGTTCCACTTGATTTCTGGCCTTTACACTTCCTTATCACAAACTTTTTCCCACTAGAAATCCATCTGTCAGAGTTCGCAGGTTTTTGAGTAGTTGAAATTGTTTGGACATGTTTGACAATGAGTCCGTTTTGAGAATTAATTAAATATTATTTTGTAAATATAATTAACATTAGTTTAAAAATACATTAGGGTAGGTAAATATATATGATTTCGTAATGATTATAAAAAATGAGTAAAATTAAAAATATCGAATTAACTTATACACCTAATAGCCCAGGTAGTTAAATCTGTGCAAACAGATTTTGAATAGAGTCTGCTATAAATTTTTGAACAGAAAGAGAATAAATCAAACACAGGATTTGTTGATATCTGATTATATTACCAAACTGCCGTCAGAAATGTGAAATATTTCGAGCAGAGATTGGCGGCAGAAACCGAGCAGATCCTGTTGTTCGACGGAATCTGCCCGGTTTTTGTTGCCAATTTGCTCGCATTGTCAGTCAGCAGACTCTGATACCAAAATACGATCTGACTGTTGACACAGTTAGCTATGGTTTTAATATGAGATTTTAATCAAATTTATTCCCAATCTGCGCGTACTCTGCTATCAATTTGCTTACTGGAAGATTATGTATGATTTAGCAATATAAATAGCTATTTATTTTTAAATTGATTAAAATAATTGTACACAAAGAAAACACCATTCATACGTCTTTCATTCACTACGGATTTTATTTGCCTAAATAAAATCCGTAGCTTCAGCAAAATATTAATTTATTTTTTGCTTATGTATACAAAATAGTTATAGTAATCAGTATTGTGGAACTGGCTATCTTTGTTCATACGTGTTTGAAAGGTACTAATTATAGTAGTGGTTCTGCAAACCACAGAGAGACATAGAGTAATAATCCTTTGGTTGAGACAACTATAGATGGACATATAGCAACAGCAACTTTTAATACCATATCTATTTAACTTGAAATCACAATTTTTCTTTCTAACTATAGAGGAAGAATTTATAAATCATGGTAGCAATCATGGCAATTTTCTCTTGTTTGTATAGGCTCCCAATAAATTATAAAAAATTATATATCAATTTTTCTCTTTCTTAAATTCAAGAATATATGTTCATTTATTTATCTTGTTTTCTTACAGGAAAAGGATAAGCCGAATAGTACAACTATGAACGGTTCACCAGGTAGTGCCGGAATGGGTGACCAAATGAGTGTTAAAATCGAGCCAGCGGAAGCCGAATCATTGTCCATGTCTGGAAGTAGTGGTATTCTCACACCCGTTAGTCCTTATGCTTGTGTGAAACCGCCGACGCCTACGCCTATCAGTCCAGAACAGGACGAACTGATAAACAGGCTGGTATCTTTCCAATGCCAGTTCGAGCAACCGAGCGAGGAGGACTTAAAAAGAATTACCGTATGTATTTTATTTTTTGTATTTTATTTCATTTATTATTAGAATTATCTCTGTGCGTGCGTGCGTGCGTGCGTGCGTGCGTGCGTGCGTGCCTGCGTGCGTGCGTGCGTGCGTGCGTGCGTGTGCGTGTGCGTGTGCGTGTGAGAGAGAGAGAAGGGAAGGGGAAAGTGAAAAGGAAAGAGAGAAAAAGAGAAAATATTCATTCTTAGAAGAATAATAAATATAACCGAATATATAATGGAACTGGGCATACGATGATATGAAAAAAAACTAACAGTAATATGATAAATAAAATCTCAGATTTCTTAAACAATTTAAACAAAATAATCAAGTGTTTTACTAATAATATGGAAATTACTGTAGACATTTTCTTATTTCAACTAAACAATGATATTATATAAAATATCAAACAATCTTGTATTTATTGATTGGAGCATTAATTTGTTCGAAGCATTCTCCAATAATTAAATTTGTTTAAATTGAATAAAATTGGTTAAATTCAGAAAATAAGAAAATCTTTCTTTCTGTATTATAATTCATGAAAAGCACATCAAAGTATAGCATCTTTACTAATCTGAACTTTTCGACATTAGACCATCATTTTTACGTTTTGAGAGAGATAACTTTTCTTATCAAAATCAATGACTCTCAATAAGAGATCCAAATTATTTTCAAATTAGGATTTTGACTAACTGTAACTTTCATCAAACTTGAAGTCTATATTAAAACAAATTTTAGTCTTGTTTCAAAGGGAGTTGTTAATTCTCCCTCTATTCTTATATATTCCACCATATTCTGCATTATGATTTTCAATAATTTCAGTGGGATATTGAATTCCCGTAAAATCGTATAAAGTTTTTCTCTAGAGATGCTATTATATGCCTGTTTAAAGTCCACGAACACCAGATAGAGGTTGATATTATACTTCCACAATTTTTCCGTAATCTGTCTCACCGCAAATAACACAGCTCCACAAAAAAAAAAAAAATTGTACAGCTGACTAGACCATGTTTATCATATGTTTTTTGGGTCGCTGAATCCGAATCTGAGGTCCGTTGGAATCCATCACGTCAGGATTTTTCATAACCTCAAAAAAACAGGTCCAAAGACCCAGTAATTCCTCACAACTTTAATCCATCGATTCTTCAACACAAAGAAACCAATAACCACTCATCTGGTTTTTCTAATCTACATTAATATAACTCAATCCTTAAATCCCTTGACCCAAAAAGGCCCAAACCCCATAACATCTTAAGAACACTGCCTAGCCTTTAAAAATAAAATTTAACAAGAATCGGAAATGTTTTAGTACTCTACTGGACTTATAGCTACTGCGTTTTTGTTCACATTTGTTCTTGATAACAAGTTAATGTTTTTACTGGTCGTAACACTTTCTTTAGTATGTTTGTGCCCAGGGCACCTCTACGTGGTGACGGTGGGCAACGGAGTAATTCCGTGATCCGGCAGAGTCCCTGGGTCACGGCTCTCATGCCGTCATGGCAGGCACACGGAGGAAGTGCGTTATGATGCAGGGAGTCGGATACCCAGTATCGGCGGCTGGTC